AAGAACCCCCCCCCCAAAAAGAGACACCATGAGTCAGAATTGACTTGATGGTGCATTATTATTATTATTATTATTGTTGTTGTTGTTGTTGTTGCAACAAGGGCATTTCTGTGTTATCTTGGAGGTGTATTTGAGGTTCAGGTGATCGGCTGGGTTGTAGGGCAGAAAGACCCACTGTTGCTAGAACTGTAACTGAGCCTCTTAAAAAAAAAAAGATGTAAATCAACCATGTAAACTTGAATTGGCTAACTTTCTGGAATGATGGGTGGGTTCATTCACATAATCACCACACTCGATTCTTGTGGTCCGAATGACTTCACTAATTCACTTCAGAGAAGTGGCTGAGGTGTCAGAATGAGATACAACAATTTTACAAATCTGCATATGCTATTAGACAGTATTGGTTGTGTGTGTGTGTGTGTGTCTGTGTGTGTGTGTATGTGTGTGTTTAAGTCCTCTAGGAGGGAGGGTCCTGCCTAACGCTGGGTGAAACATAGACACGTTAAGGGAGGAAGATTCATAGAAGGGCTGACTGAAAGATGGAGGACAGAGAAGCACAAGGGGAAGATATAAGATCGGAGAGTGATTCAGGCGTCAGGGAGAGCGCCTGGCTCTGCTCCAGGGAGGAAAGGGGGTAGGGAGAGAAGCCCAGCCCCCCCCCCGCGCCCACGCACTTTGGAGGCGGAGAGGCATTTTCTATCCCCGTGACAGAAAATTATCGACGCGGCAGTCCATTGCCGGGTCGATTCCCCCAGCTGCCTTATGAAAACCTGGCCGCTGCCAAATGACCTCATCTCGTCAGGGTTTCGGCGGCATCTCGCCCCCCCCCCCCGTCCTCTGGAAAAGGTGAAGGATGGAACCGGCGAGAGAGGCTAAAATCTTCCCATCGATCTGCAGTCTGGAGAGCAATTAACACCAGCCTTCTGGGGCCACCCCGTTGACCCTCTGGCTCTCTGTGGGGGCAGAGGGGGGGGAGGAAGGAAGAGGGGGGGAGAGAGAGGGAGAAATAACAAGACGGATTAGAACCTGCCATATCGGGAGCCAGGCCCACACAGAAGGGGTGGCTGCTCTCCTGACCGCTTGCTTTCACTTCCCGATCCAAGGAGGGTGGGCGGGAGATGAAGGGAAGGGGGCAGGCTGGGACTTGGCTGGCAGCATGAGGGGATGTGGGGGGAAGACTTAGAGGGGGAGGGAGTTCCGCTGTTCCAAGGAGTCTTTTTCCCCAGCGTACAAAATCGGGAAATAGCATAGTAGAGTTGCAAGGGGCCTTGAAGGTCATCAAGTCCAACCCCCAGCTCAATGCAGGGGATCCAAATCAAAGCAGGCCTGGCAGAGGGTTGTCCCATTTTCTCTTGAATCCTTCTTATCAGTGGAGCACTTGCCACCTCCAGAGGCCATGGATTCTGTTGTACTGCTCTAACAGTTAAGGGGTCCCCCCCCAATACCTACACTATAAGCCTGTGAGTTTGTTGTCTTTGAGCCTCTAATGACCTCCTGGCTCTCCAGAGCTGACCATCAGATCAAGCGCGGGCTTTTGTATGCGACCCTCTATTTCGAGAGCCTTAGGTCTCCTAATGACGCTGCTGTTTGCAGTCAGAGGCCTGCGAGGTCAAGCTGGAAAAAAGGGGCTCCTGTCTCCGTGGACATCGGCCCTGATGGGGGTGCCAGAGTTTCACATTCACATGCCCTTCCTTCAGCTACCACTTGTGGTTGTTGGCATGGAGCCCCCCCCCAGCTTGCTCTTGGGTGAACACTGTGGAAATTTCTACAGCATGAGGGCCTTCTCTTCGCAGTATGCTTGTTCTGGGAAGCAGCCCGCAAAATTGGGTCACCCGCCCTTTCAGTGGTGGCTCTTGTGATTTATTGTCCTGTGAATCCAGGAGATTTTTGGATGAGTGCCCATACGTTGTCCCTGGGAGAAATTATTGGAGGCGGGGGAGTGCAAGAAGAAAAAAGAGAAACTGGAAAAAAAAGAGAAAGTCTTGAAGAGTTGACCTAGATCTAGAGTGTACACATGCAGTCGTGAGAAAGCACAGCCTCTTCTGGTTTCTGGGCAGTGGTGTGGATTGGGGCCCAAGGTGCTGGCCAACCAAGAAGCAGGAAAGAGGGTCTCAGTCGGGAGATGCTGGGGGGGGGGAACGGAATCCAGCCCATAAGATTCCCCATTATGCTGGAAGAAATAATTGTTTGGGAAAGCAGGCAAGAAAATAGTTTTGGTCTCTTCCTCCTTAGACTGAGTCCAAGGGGAGTTGTCCCGTCGAGCACAGCGGCAGGAGATTTGGGGCAGGAGACGAAAGAGAGCCAAACTGGAGCCTGTGTCGGGGCTTCCTAGTGACGGAGGGAGGGAGGACAGAAGGAAGGAGAGGGTGGATGTTCTCCTAATAAATATTTTGGCGTAGGCTGAACTGGCGTGGCCGTGGTTCCAAAGTCTTGCAGGCTCTTCCAGGGGAGATCTTCCATATGTGGGAAAAAATGTGTTTAAGAGGATCTCCATAAAAAAAGATTTTCCTTCACGATAGCTGAACAGAAAAGTATTTGGATTGCTTGCCCTGGTTCTTTGAGGGTTTGGCACATCTGTGCTATTCCTGGTCAGACCGTTTCCCCTCCAAGTCTGTGCTGACTGGCAGCCCCCGGGGGGGCAGAGACAGGGCCCTTTCCCCAGTTCCTCTTTCTGGGCCGCCTTAACCAGAAACGGGAGCCAGGAGTACCACGCAAATCGTGTGGGTTCTCGGCCGTCGGGTCTCCCCAGGGGTGGTTGGCGTGCATCCATGAGGTGGAGGAACAGCACTGGGAGTGATGAGAACTCAGTATTTGCTTGGACCCCTAGCATGACCCAGATGAGTATTTGGTTCAGCCTCCACCCGACTCCCGCATGCCGGCCATCTCTTCGACTCAATGTCCCTTCTCTTCCCCCCCCCCCCCCNGGCTTCCTTCTTTCTTCCTTCAGCCGTCCTTCCTGGTCTGGCTAGGCTCTGGATTTTCTCCTTTCCCAAACATGCAATGCAGATGTGCATCCGAGGAATTCCCTTGTGACTCTGAGGGGGCGAGGCGACTCTGCCTGTTTTGCGTGCAATCAGCTCAGACAAAACGGAAAGTTGGCTTTCACACTCTTTGAGTATCTGCTGAGAGAAGGGGCGGCTTGTCTGGCTGTTCCAGCTGTGGTCAGTAGTGGGGCACGGAGAGAGGTGGGGAGAGGGGCTCCGTGGG